GATTTATCAGTTTTAAAAACAAATGATTAATTGATTTTTAAAATTTGGGTTATTGTTTAAATTAATTCAAATTTTAGCTAGAAACATTTGAACTGTTAGTAGTCTGTCGAGTTTACTTGTTCTGAATTCAATGCACTCATTGGACAAAATCAAGATAGACTATCTATTTTCAAATAAACAAATTTCTTTTTACGTTTCTCTATATGTTTATTTGGATAATTCGTCGTTGTTAACTAAACAAAATATGTCATTCAATGCCAACTGAATGATGATCTAGAGCTTGAGCATTTTCAGGAGAGACCACAGATCTTGTGCTCGACTTCCGATTGTAGGTTCATAGATGTTTGCTGCTATGGAGTTATATGTTAGGACGTAAAAGCCATTCAGTACTTTAGAGTTTTCAATAGTGACCTAACTCAGATTGGTTCATGATCTCAATGAGATTGAACATTTATGAGATTAGAATTTACTTACTTACTTACTTACATACGCCTGTTACCCTCAATGGAGCATAGGCCGCACACCAGTTTTCTCCAACCAACTCTGTCCTGGGCTTCCCTCTCCAGTTCTGTCCAATGTTTGTTCATTCCTCTCATATCTTTCTCTATTTCTCGGCGTAGTGTGTTCTTTGGCCTTCCTCTTTTCCTTTTACCTTGAGGGTTCCATGTGAGTGCTTGTCTCGTGACGCAGTTAGGTGCTTTTCGTAGTGTGTGTCCTATCCACTCCCAACGCTTCTTCCTGATTTCCTCCTCCGCTGGAATCTGACCTGTTCCCTCCCACAGTTCGTTGTTGCTGATGGTGTCTGACCAACGAATCCGAAGTATTTTGCGTAGACATTTGTTAATAAACACTTGTACCCTCTGGATGATGGCTTTTGTAGTTCTCCATGTTTCCGCTCCATACAGTAGAACTGTCTTCACATTTGTATAGAAAATCCTGATTTTGCTTTTGGTTGAAAGTTGTTTGGAGTTCCAGATATTTTTCAACTGTAGAAATGCAGCCCTTGCTTTGCCATTCCGCGCCCTCACATCTGCATCGGATCCACCTTGGTTGTCGATGATGATGCTGCTAAGATATGTAAACGTGTTAACGTCCTCCAAGGCATCTCCATCAAGAGTGATTTGGTTGGTGGTGTATGTTGTGTTGCATTGAAGAATTTTACTTTTTCCTTTATGTATATTGAGACCTACTGCTGCTGCAGAGGCTGCTGCTACACTGGTCCTAGATTAGAATTTAGATTACTATGAATTCATGGAAAAAATTTACTTCGGTTAGTAGTTGTCTTTCTCTAAAATGAACTCATATATATAAAAATAAACAACCGGTTTCTATATTCTCAGTTTCCATGTCGTATTCTGTTTCGAAAAAATTTATATATATTTTTTTGAATTAATTATCTGCTGATATCGTTTAGTTTTATTCTCAAGACTATTTACTATTCAGTAAGGGAAAAAAACTAATCTCAAGTAAAGTTGTTAAAGAAATTGTCAAATTATTTACTAATCATGTTTTTTTATTGTTCAGCGTTGTTCAGTGTTTGATTCAAGTATCTCATTACCTCTTTCTCTCTCTCTCGCTCTCTCTCCTACATACATACATATCTATATTATAAACGAATATAATTTTTTTTACCCTAAGGCAATAAGTAGATATTTCCATTTATTTGTTCATTTACACGTACTACGTACATGTGAATGATTATTTTAGACGTGACTTAATGATAATGTTATCAGAAGAAGAAGAAAGCTTTTCTTTTAGTTTTTATTTTTAGTTTCTATTTTTATTCACTGAAATGAAATTATATTCTTCAAAAATGCTCACAGTCATTTCTGTGTATTGATTAACATCTATTCTCTGATTAAACAGTTAATTGCTGAATTATTTAAAGCGTTAGATTTAATTTATTTCAAGATATTCAATGTTCACTTGAAGAAACTCAATCAAGACGAAACATACATACACATCAATCTATCGCTCTCTTTCTCTCTCTCTTTCTATAGTTACTATGATCAAATTATAACCTGTTTTATTTATTTGAGTAACTGTTCAAGTTTTACATGGAATATATTATTCAAATATACACGAAACAATGGAATGATAAATGATAATTACTGTTTAATTGTACTTCTCAGAGATGAGGATTTGATTGTTATACTCATCTCTAGGTATGCTTAAAACTATGACGGATTCAACTTAATCGAATAACGAGAACAAAACGATGAACCCGCGTCCATGTAGGCTACTGTGATCCCTTCACCAAATTATATCACTAAGAAGTCTTGATATAGCGCAGAAAGTGTATTCCATAAAAACACAACCAGTAAGCACACAATACATCCAAGCATAGAAATCACGTTTATTTATACTCTATAGAGACGTCCCTGGGACAGTCACAAAAAATAGCACACTAAAATGACACAGTAACAAATCACAGTCAAGGATTTTTCCTGGTGAGAAATGTGAGCTGAAGGTCAACTGATCGGTCCATGAAATAAATGCAAAATAAAGATATTTATGAAGCGAGTTCTGGAGATCTAACATCCCCAACAATATTACGGTAATCAGTTGTTACATTTTATATATAAAATGCAAATATTCGTTTTTAATACTACATTAAATTAAACACTGTCCAAAACTACCAACACTGAACAATTTCTATCGATCAGGCGTATCAATAAATTGTGATGTTTATGATTTACTGATAAAAGCAGAAACTAACAATAATAATGGGGAATTTCGGCTCAAAAATGATCATAATAACTATAGAGAGAGAGAGAGATAGGTGTGCATGTATGTTTCGTTTTGATTTAATTTCTTCAAGTAAACAATGAATATTTTTTTTGGAAAACATAAATCTAACGCTTTCAATAATTCAGCAATCAACTGTTTAATCACAGAATAACCTTATCCTCGTCTGAATTTTCAGGAGTGGACCTTTTACCAGGTGGCTCGCTTATCGACTTAGAATATGCCAATGACATATTCCTATTCAGTGAAGACGCTGACAAAATGCAGAGTCTTCTGACTACCCTAAGCAACAATGCAAGCATGTTCGGGATGCGGTTTTCCCCCTCGAAATGCAAAATGTTGCTTCAAGACTTGGTTGCATCGGCACCTGAACCTAGTGATAGGGAGTGAAGTAGTCGAACGTGTAGACCGCTTCACTTATCTTGGGAGTCTCATCAGTGCCGATGGCCTGATGACTGACGAAATCTCAGCTCGGATACAGAAGGCTCGATTGGCTTTTGCCAACCTGCGTCACTTATGGCGTAGGCGAGAAATCCGTTTGCTGATTAAAGGACGAGTGTACAGCGCAGTAGTTCGCTCCGTCTCACTTTATGGCTGAAACATGGCCAGTGAGAGTAGAAGATATTCGTAGGTTATTGGTTTTCGATCATAGGTGTCTTCGAAGCATTGCTCGTATATCCTGGGACACCCGAGTGAGCAACGGTGTTATTAGGAAACGGGTGCTAGGTAAGAATAGCAGATCAATAGATGAAGTGGTGAAACTTCATCAGTTGAGGTGGTTGGGACATGTGTTGCGTATGCCCAACCACCGACTGCCTCGAAGAGCTTTGTTTTGTAGTGTAGGAGTAGGTTGGAAGAAAGTTAGGGGCGGCCAAACCAAAACATGGCAGAAATCTATGAAGTCATTGACGAATGGACTTAGCCATGTCGGTAATTGTCGACTACCTGGTTGGGGTCCGCGAGATGATAATAATCAATGGTTAGATACCCTGAATGACATGGCTCAAAATCGTTCGCAATGGCACAGGTGCATTTATTCCTTGTGTTCTCTCAAATCCTAATCTTTTGGATTCTTCAACACCTCTAGTTTTTTGACTTTCTAAACTTATCTCATTTAATCATACTTCTTGAATAATATCTTCTAATGCTAACCTCTCCGATTACTTCTAATACCCTCACTAACTCTTCTACTATTGGATTTGAATTGACAATAGCGTTTCTGTGCTGATGTGGTATGGCGACATGAACTGATGTACTTACGTACGAAGTTCTACGTTGCAACTGACTGACTGACTGACTGACTGACTGACTGTTTATTCACAGAACAGATTTAACTCACTTAAACTGATTCATAATCCAAATCCAATAACTAAATACTATTTCCTAAGTACAATGTTAATTCTTAATAAAAAGAAAAAATCAATTACATTATTCATCTATGTGAAATGTACACTTGAATAATGTATTTTTTAATTTTAAAATCAGCACCAAACTTTTTTTTTTGTAAAAAAAAATTGATTTGTCTATTCATCAAAAGAATATCTCATTACTTTTTAATGTTCATGTTTAAAATGACTATTACAATACAAAATTGTCATCAATTCCTTTCCATATAATATATCTTGAATGGAAAAAAAAATTATATAAAAAGATTCATAATTGTTTATCATTCAAGCAGTGTTTAAATGTCCAATAAACATGTTGTTTTTATTAAGTTACTTAGTAGGCAAATGAAGTTAATAGAATATCTCAACTCTATTTCAGTTTGATAAAAATTCTAATGTTAATCAATGATGAACAAGTATAGATTTTTGTACTTAGTTTTGAGCTGTATGTATTTTTACAATCTGATCACATTAAATAAAGATATGGTCAGATTTATAATGGAACTTCATTGATTTCAAAAGTCCCAGAATTTTAATCAGTTAAGCTACTCTAATTGATAGATAATTTACATAGTAAATTATTCAAACAACTTAGTAAATTTGAAATCATCAATCAATCAATCAATCATTGTTAGACCATCATTAGAAGAAACCTGGAAGCATTGGATGGCCGTTTCGTCCTGGTATGGCACTCATCAGTGGCAGTGCGCATCCAAGTATGAGCAACATAATTTAAAGGTAAACGGTGGCACTTTCTTTTTTTATCACACAGCCAATGTTTAATCATCATGTTTGTAAATGATAATTTTTCCTCTATCTTTTTTTGTTTTTTACATTGTTTGTAATAAAATATCCGTTCATGACTCAATGAGAATTCATAAAACTACTACTACTACCACTACTACTACTACTACTACTACTACTACTACTACTACTACTACTACTACTACTACCACTACTACTACTACTACTACTACTACTACTACTACTACTACTACTACTACTGTTACTACTACTACTACTACTACTACCACTACTACTACTACCACTACTACTACTACTACTACTACTACTACTACTACTACTACCACTACTACTACTACTACTACTACTACTACTACTACTACCACTACTACTACTACTACTACTACTACTACCACTACTACTACTACTACTACTACCACTACTACTACTACTACTACTACTACTACTACCACTACTACTACTACTACTAATAATAATAATAATAATAAAATATTTAAACATATCATTACTGAGTGATCATTATTTTAATTATATATAAATAAAAATCGATAACAAGATAGAAATGATTGCAAGTGATGTGGATGTTATTTAATAATCCCATTATAGAAGATTGAGAATGATTAAAAAAACACTCTTGACTTATTCATTAATTTGTGTATGCTTTTAAACAAACAAACTTTTCCAATTTTCAATTACCCCATGATAAAAGTAAATTAAGCAATTATTTTGAAATAGCAAACAAGAAAATGTATTTATTGACAAGTAGTATGAGATTTTTTTGAGTCAGGCAAATTCATAACTCTATCAGGAATTGAATACAAAAAATATAGGTTAACAGTTAATTAACTTTTTTGAAATCATGAATTCATCAATCACGTAATGCAAATTACCTATGCTCACTGGTGAGTGATAAGCTTCGTGAGGAATCTTCTCCGAGTTCTAGTGAGAAGTCGTGATGAAATGAAGTTCAACGTGTTTGGGTGTAAACAGTAACTACCGAAGACTATGCGTGAGGTTTTTTTCATCAAGCTATTAGCATATCAAGTAATTCACTATTCACTACGATGAAAAAAATATATATCCGCTACTTCCTAGTTTTTAATAATTGTTCAATTAAAGTCATCGTATTATGTTAAACAGCAAAATTATCTACTTATTGATACTTAGCTCATCAAACAGAATGAGCCTAGTTCGTGGAACCTCACAACTAGTCTCTTTTTCAGAAATCTAAAATGTTACACTTTTATTATATTTGCTCTTTTATATATTTTCACAGGAATATTAATTCCGACTTAATTCGATTGGATTGAAAAAACCTTTTCATGTACTCAATTTTTCAATCTCCCTTATCATTCTCTACTTTTTTTTCATGATAAAATGATTTTTATTAAATAAACTAAAATTCTATCCATGTTCTTAGTTGACTGATAAATAATAGGAAAAAAAAGGCAAATCATTTATATGATTAATATTTAAATAATTATTCTGTTTTGAAGAAAGAAAAAAAAAATATATATATATATATATATTTATTTTATAAATATCGAATGCAGTGTGATACACATATGTATAAATTTTTTTTTCAAGCCTAATCAAACTGTATATTTAATTTCATTACAAACGCGCTAACATTTTTCAATTTTAACCAATCAGTGAACCGACATTAAACTAAGACAATAAATGATTGGTCAATTGAAATGAATAGAATCTGAGCGAAAATTAACTGTGAATTTACAGTGTAATTAAGTGTACAGAATAATTAGGAAATCAGAAATAAATAAATAAATTTAACAACTTTTTAAGTAAAAAATATACAGTGATGCATTATCATTACTTCAATAAATCATAATAAGAAGAATAATGAGTAAATCAATGTCACAAGAAGTGTGTACGGTTATGATGAATTCGTTTGTGGCAGAGTTTTGGAGGTTTGTGTTTTTACACATTTGAAATCATTAACCAATCATTGTTAGACCACCATTAGAAGAAACCTGGAAGCACTGGATGGCCGTTACGTCCTGGTATGGGACTCATCAGTGGCAGTGCGCATCCACGACTCCTGCTCCTCGCAGGATTCGAACCCGGGACCTTCGGTATTGTGCGCGAAAGCCTTACCATCAGATCACTGGGCTGGCATCCAACGGTGCCTATACCAGGACGAAACAGCCGTCCAGTGCTTCCAGGTTTCTAATGGTGGTCGAACAATGATTGATTGATCATTTCAAATGTGTAAGAATTCGTTTGTATAAATTTCCACTGGTACTCATGTAAACATTCATATATAGTATCGTTTCAATCCTTAATTTATTTCCATTAGTAAATAGTGTAAGATCCATTTTTGAAGGCTTTGGTTGTGAAAATCCTTCCATGTATACATTTATAGTAAGTCCTTATTGACGTCTTCAGTTCTACATTTTATTGATCTGTTCAATTCCATTTTGAGATGATAATATTTGTATTTTATTATAGTTTCTATTTCTTCTGCCTTCACTGAGTTTCTATGTTTCATTCTGAACTGCATTTATGTTGTTTAAGCTGATAATTAGTCATGGCGACAGCCATATTGATTTGATCTTCTTTGGATTGTGTTGCTTGCCTTGACTGCAATTGTGCATTTTGATTGTGAATTGAAGCACTCTTCCAGAATAAGAAGCACTCTATGTTATAAAGCAACTAAATATTATCTGTCGAACGAATCTGATCTATCATCCAGGAGGGATAGAATTTCATTTATTTGTTACTTTTGATATGAATAATTGGACTGAGTGGTAATATTTGTTTAGGTAATGATGTATATTTATATTTATGATGATGAGTATTAGAACCTTCATTTACCCAAATCACCTTGTTTTTAGTTTCAACTGGGCGATAGCGCGTATCTAAACTACCTAGTCAATTATTCCTCAATCCATACCTCAGTTTGGATCCTACAAATAGTGAGTAATTCTTTTCTTTTCATTACCCATACAACAGAATTGATTGTTTTAACAAATAATTACGATGTAATGTAATTAAACAGCATAACATAAATTCATTTTATTTCGTTAAGTTCTCATCACCTTTTTTTTAAGTTAAAAAGCCAAAGGGTTTCATCATTAAAAAATTTTAAATAAGAATTAGAAGTACAATGCTTACTGTGGTATTTTTAAGTGAAAATCAGGATTGCCTCAATTGTAGACTGTGAATATTTAGTAAAACGTCTATTAATTATTATTATTATTATTATTATTATTATTATTATTACTTCGTATCATCGTATTTAAGCATTTATCATAGTGAAACTTCATCCACTACCGAGAATTTTATATCTCATTGAATATAGCTCGTCGAATTGATAAACATCAATCATGCATTTCTAACAAACATGAACAACGTAATTAATTTAATAGTTTCTTTTATCGTAGACAATCAGAAAGCATTAGACAACTGTTTCGTCAGTAGCGAGAATCTTCAACCTAACTCGAAGTGAACAAGCAGAACTTTTGATGCTCTCTCAATGTGAGGATTTAATCTTTAAATTACTTGACTGATATCTATTTGCCAACATTCATAACTTAAATCAATTTTCAATATCTTGAAATCATCTCCCAATGCCATTGGTGGGGATGAATTATTCACTGATCAATGTTGTTCAAAACCATTGAATCACTTGAAATTGTTGTTTCAATCGTTAACCAGTTAATTCCAATTTTTTTTAATCGACCTCTCTGCTGAATCGATAACGACACACTACTTAATTATTTTCAGCATATATATATATGTAATAAGTTATTATGCATGACTCTTATCCCTTGAATGAAAATAGTACAAATTTATCGAACAGGTAATTAATTTTCTTTAGAACACAATTTTCAAGACGCTGTAATTAATAAAAATGTAAACTCAACCATGAAAAAATCAATAATTTTGTAACTGACCTCTTTTTAATTTTCGTTTTGAACTATCCTCATTTAAATCGTTTCCGTCACTCATTGAACCCATTGATTGTAGAATAATACTTAAACAAAACAAACAAAATACAGCTGCTAGTTATTGATTGATCATAAGAAATAAATAGATCACAATAGAAACAAAAAAAACCCTTTTATGTGATTTCGAAAAAAAAAATAACAGCCTATTTCTGTTATCAAACTAAATCACAATGGAAGTTTATTAGAATTCATGAAGTAATCAGATGCTTATTCGTCATAATTTCTGATCGGTTTGTCAGTAATCTCATTGACACATGTTCATTTCTTGTAAAAAGCATAATATCACTGTACATTTGGATTTGGAATCCAGTTTTTTTTCTGAACTGATCAAAAATCGTTCAGTATATATATATATATGGATTACTTAAACAACTTGACAGACACTCTTATAGTATTCCTAACAAGTCAACACGCGGCAATTAACTAGAATTATGTATTCACACACCTATAAGGCCACATTCACTTACAGCATTCAGTTAAATTAGTTGGAAAATGGATTGAACCCAGCCACTGGGTACACATGATGTTGGTTGGTGTAGAAATAAGTTGAATAAAAGCTGCTAGTGGCCAAACCAATATTTATTATCGATCAATGGAGCCATTGACTATTGATCTCAGATGTATTGATCAGTGAAAACTACCAATTCGGAGCTCGCATAGTAATCTTGACTTGTGATTGAAGAAGTTGATTAAATTGACTAACAGTTAGTCATAGTAAGCCGGATACATTTATCCTTCTTTGTATTCTCTTAGATTCTGAGTTTCAAAATTGTTTTATCCCATTACTAATAAATTTTATTCAATATGGTAGAGTGTCGCTATTTGAATGATAAGTTCAACAATTTGAATACTTCACATCTACCTTATATTTGTGCTGTTGATGTTGTTGTTCAGAAGAACAATCAAATCTTCACAACTAAAGCATTCAGTTCAGAGAACAAAAGTCCACTATAATCATTCAAATGAGCTACAAATTTTATTTGCCAACTTAGATTTAATTTTTTGTTTAACGAATCTTATAATATCTAACTGTTTTCGTTCTATCACTGATACTTCTATAACTTTAGCATTAATCTTGGAAATTTCTCTCTCTGTCTCTCATTGCTGATGTAACACATGGTGACTTGGACCGATGAACATATTATCTAGATATATATTCCATTGTCAAGAGAAACTTATGTTCATAATACACATGCACTACTTTGTACAGAATAAATTCAATCTATACATAACTTTTATTCGTCTATATATAAAAAATATTTTGTTAAATATAAATAATTAGCTGCTATACTACTTTCAAATGAATAAATCATTTAACAAGTCATACTGTAGTGAACGAGAACACAGGTGAGGGCAACCGAATTGTAACTGTAACGAAAATTACAGAGTTACTTAGTAAAATTGGAAAACCATATCGTAAATTGTTCATTTGCGAAATATCAGTTCATCATATCGAACAGGACTGTTCCTGTTGCAAAACATCAATCCATTGTCACTATTCATGCGTTTCATACAAATTCCATTGTTTTCTAACTCTTTCTTTCT